GCTGTTTGTGCTCCGTACTCTCATGATCATACGGTGCGTATTACTGCGCTAGATATTGCGGCAAACTTTCACCCGTAAAATAGTCGTAAAGTAACCGTAAACGGTCGTATACGGACGGTACTGTTCGACCTGGAATAACTTCGAAGTTCTTCTTTATTCAAATAATTTGTTTCTTAGGACTTGAAGCCTGATAAAACTTCAATAATACCTGATTTTATCTAAATATGAAAATTAATGATAGAATTAAATTTATTTGAGAGGAAAAGAAATCGCCTGTTCGTTGTTGACCATTTTTAGTTGCTGATTTCCATTCACGTTCAGCTGATTGAAGTTCTTCAATTTTCTATCGTCATTCAAAAAAAAAACAGTTCAGTTACTGCTTTTTTTCTTTTGTTAAATTTTCAATTCCTATTGGAGCTTGTTTTACACAGTCATTTTCAACAATCGATGTTGCTTCACCAATAATAACATTCAAATAAAAATCAACAGTAGACAGTGATGGTCGAGATGCGTTATTTTTATATGTACTAACGTAAGTAACATTTGATTTTTAGGGTTACTTTTCTGACAAGCCGTTTATATTCTTTAGTTGCTGTTGAATGTAATTGTCGCTCAAGAAGTAAGGTAGACAGAAGAACTTTATGATGTTGTTTAAGTTCACCATTCGAACGAATATGATGTTGTAATACAGCATCGGTTTGTTGAGAGAAAAATTTGATCTGATAATGATTGATTACGATCCGTTAGAAGGTTTGTTCAACCTTTCTGTTCAGCAATTTGCGTTAATTCAAGTAGTTTCATTTTTCAATTTATCAAATATTTCAAGATTATCTTTAGCATAAGTATGAGATACGGATGTATCTTTGTTACGAAGGAAAGATGGGCCTTATATGTTCTACGATTGTCACTTGTAATAAATTTACTTCATTTAGTTATTAAAATATTGCCCAAAAAAAATAATATCTCAAGTTTATGCAGAACAGATTGTGATCGGTAGACATCAATTACATTTTTGACCGAATCAATTAACTGTAGATTCTAGATTAAACAAAAATTATGGGAAAGTCTCTTCTACTAGTCATTATATGATGTTGGAAAGAAAGAAAAACATTGACTGGCATCAATAAATCATTACAGCGTATCATTCTATCAGCTGAGTTAAGTTTCTAGGTTGTATGAAGATTGGCAGAACAGGTAGTCTCTACCTGTTGGCTCAGATCAATAGTACTGTATATTTACCGATTAACGAGAATATCGGACTAAACATTCAATCTCACTAAAATATATATTCTATATGCATCGTAAAACGAGAAATTTAGGATTGGAAGCATTAAAGAATTACATTTAAATCTGCTGACCATACAAGAAAATATAAAGTTGAGTGAGATTGAGTCTCTGTTATTTGTTGATTATGACAGAAAGTTTAAAAATAGTTAATAAATATTTCTTTATTGGTATCGCTTGATTATAGGAAATCCTTCATCATAATTCTATATAAAATATATCTTATATTTCGATGATCTTAAAAGATTTGTTCATTATCGGAGTAATAAAATTAATTTAATGAGTTCTAAAAGAAAAACGAAATCCAAAACTTTTTTTGAATATATTCCCATCCTAGTTACTTACTTCAATAGTAAGCAAGAAAAGCAAGAAAATAAAATGCTTTCATACAGAAAAAAAGTATAGAGATACTCCCA